GGGGCAGGATCCACCTCCCTGCTGTGTTGCTCTGCCTCATTACCCAGGGGGCAGGATCCACCTCCCTGCTGTGTTGCTCTGCCTCATTACCCAGGAGTAGGATCCACCTCTCTGCTGTCCTTCTCTGGCTCATTACCCAGGGGGCAGGATCCACCTCCCTGCTGTGTTGCTCTGGCTCATTACCCAGGAGTAGGATCCACCTCTCTGCTGTCCTTCTGTGGCTCATTACCCAGGAGTAGGATCCAGCTCTCTGCTGTTCTGCTCTGGCTCATTACCCAGGGGCAGGATTCATCTCCTTGGTGTCTTACTCTGGCTCATTTAGTATCTTTCTCTTTGGCTCATTACCAGGGGGCAGGGTCCACCTCCCTGCTGCCCTTCTCTGGCTCTTTACCAGGCGATAGGATCCACCTCCTTGATACCCTGCTCTGGCTCATTTACAAGGGGCAGAAAATACTTCCTGGTGCCCTGCTCTTGCTCATACCAGGGGCAGAATCAACTTTTCGTTCCTCTGCTCTGCCTTATTATCAGGGAGCAAAATCCACCTCTTTGCCATGGCTGGTTACCCAGGAGACGGTCTACCTCCCTACTGCCCTCTCTGTTTCACAATGCAGGGCCTGCATTTGGAATCCATGCATAGGATTATTCCATTCCATCAGCCTGTGTCATTTAGAAGGGAGGTCTATGTTATTTTAATTGGAAGCTTGTGATTCGTGTCCTCTGTTTTCTTGTTCTAGTAGGTTATCCATCCAGGATTTATTTTGAAACTATTTAAGAATCATATTTTCATACCAATGATAACTTCAAAGGGACCTTGAGAGCAATGTTTTCCTGGAGCTTAGAACAACTTTCAAAGGTCTGGGTGATTTCCACCATTTTTAGATATTTCAACAAATCTTAGAATCCTATGAATAGGAATGACGACAGTAGGAATGCAAGCTGCAGAGGAGAATATACTGGGAATAGGGAGTGTAGTCCTAACCTAACTCCAAAGCAGCCTCCATTCCAGTTCACCTGCTCACTGTACATGGGGTCCATAGGGACAGAAATAGGATGCTGGACCCGAATGGCAGTCCAGGAGGGAGAGCTCGCAGTGGGCATGGAGGAGCGGAAGGCAAGCAGGGTATTCCAGAGCTCAGAGCACAGAGAGGGATCCCAGTTCCCTGCAGCACCTTTCAGCTCCTGGACTGCCCAAGGTCCTCTGCACTCCTGGCCTGATGGCCACTGGTGTACAATTTGCCATCCATCCATATACATGGTCCTCTCAACAGGGCCAGAGAGGGATTACAAAGGAACTAACAATTGAAGCTGTGACTGCAGCTCTTGGCCCTGGGGAGCAGAGGGCAGTGGGATTCCCTGCCAGTCACCGTGAAGGCACTGTTGCTGCCTGAAGGCAGGCTCCGCCAGTCTCACTGAGACCCCTGGTGTCCAGCCTGGGTTTAGAGTGGCCTGACACAGCACTGACGTCCTTGCTGCTGTGTCTGCACTTCCTGGTCAGGTTTGAAGTTTGGTTTCAGTAATAGCAAGAAAAAGACAAACTCCCTCAAAGTCTCCTCATGGCTGAATCAGAGCTGGTCTTGCGGGCTCAGCCAGGGGCACATGGGCTCCATGTCTAGCAGCTACCTGTGCTAGCTTTCATAGACTGAAGTCTTGTCCTTTCGTCCCGCGGACAGAGGAGATGCCCAAGGCCAGGGGCAGGGGAAATAGGATGGGAGAGTAGGGAGGAGGGGGAAGGAGCTGAGGGTTAGGGTTAGGGGCATAAAGACAGGGTGGGACAGAGGCGGGATGCTCGGGGGCACCATTAGTCCAGACAACTGGGGTGGGTGCTTCCAAGCCTAATTTAATCCTCCAACAACTCTACAAAGCAGTCTCCCTTATTCCTGTTTCACAAGGGGACGAACTAGGTTAGAGAGACAGCAATTCCTCCAAGATTGCACCTTACTGCTCACACCAGGGCATGGGGCCAGGGGTGGAAATTGACCAGACAGAATCCAGAGCTCCAATGTTGCCCTGGGCAGACACTGTGCCACCAGGAGCAGACCTGAGCTCCAGCGCTGGCCGTATCTCAGCTGGAGCCATCCTGGGGACGAGTGGACCCTGGCTAATGGTGCCCACCCACCTGCCACCAGGACCCACCTCCTTAGGAGCCTCCGTTTGGATGAATTCCTCGTAGATTTGCTTCGCCCTCTCCGCCATCTCCACAGGTGACTGGATCTTCTTGTAGTCCTCACAGGCCAGCCAGAACTCAAGGTTCTCTTCACTGAACTCAGACTGCAGGAAACTTTTGAAACTGGCAAGGGCATCTAGCAAGGCAGGAAGTCAGTTGGGAAATTTGTTAATTTATTTAGTGACACTGAACCTTTCCACACCTCCCAAGTGACTTCCCGAATGTGTCTGTCATTGACATAAGAACCTTACAAATGTCAATTCCTGGATCTTCACTGCAAACCTGAGAGAAAGGTACTGAAAAGTCCAATTTTACAAGAGAGGTCAGTGACTGCCCACAGAGGCCCACCTGGCCAGAAGCAGAGTGGACTCCAGGCTAGGCAGCTGGACTTGGAGTCCATGCTTCAGAGCCTATCTGCTCAGAGCTGCCTTGTTCTGCTTCTTGGACCAGACTGACCAGTAGCAGCAGCTGCTCTCCAATGCACTTGAGAACACAAGGCCAGGTATGTGCCAAGAGGAGACGTCAGGTAGCTCTCCTTCCCTGTGGCTAAAGCTCTCCTGAGTCTTAAGCCAAAGGTATCAGTCTCTGTGGAATAGAAATTTCTAAGGCACTTTCTGTTTGCCAGAAAATAAAACCTGAGGAGATCCCATACAACCAGATATAGGACTGCAGAGGAGCCAGCCGTTCTATAGAATAAGACAGGCAAATTGACCCCTCAGCCCACAGGAACACCTGAGGCACCAGTCTGTCCCCACACGACCACCTGAGGACCTCATCAGTCCCCACACGACCACCTGAGGACCTCATCAGTCCCCACAGGACCACCTGAGGACCTCATCAGTCCCCACAGGACCACCTGAGGACCTCATCAGTCCCCACAGGA